CAAACCAAAGGTCACCTGGGAGAGAAGTCTTCAGAGAAAGCTCACCAACTTGCTCCCCATCCCCTGGCCTCCATAGGCAACTGGGAAGATAAAGGAGGCCTGAGTGATTCAAAGCTCTGTCCCTTACTAGCTGTGTGGCTTTTTTTGGCCTCATTTTTTCTCATTTAGAAAATGGGAATACTTGCTTAAGAAGGGTCGTGAGGAGTGGAGCACTTGGGTGGCTCAGTCAGTTAAGCATCAGACTCTTGCTTTCTGCTCAGGTCATGATCTCAGGGTCATAATCTCAAGGTCATGAAGTTGAGCGCCCCCTCCCCCCAAGCTCAGCCAAGAGTCTGCTGGAGATTCTCCATCCCTCTGCCCTTCCCCGCATTTTCTCTCTCTCTCTCTCTCCTACTCTCAAATAAATAAATAAATCTTAAAAAAAAAAAAAAAGAGAGAGAGAGAGAGAGGTTGTAAGGAGTAAAAGAAAAAATTGCACAGGGAAAGGGAGAAGGTAGGAGCTTGATCAAAGTGAATTTTTTTATACTTTTTAATTTTTTATTAACATATAATGTATTATTTATTAACAAAGTGAATTATTATCAGGATTATCATGCTCTCTCCTTTTGGGCATACCCAAAGAAGGGTGGAAATTGTCACGAAAAAAGAAAACCGACACTGATTTGCCTGCACAGATGAGGAAAGGACTTCAAGACTAGCCATTCAGTGGAAAAAGCGAAATTTGCAGTAATAGATCTAGTGCAATCCTGGTTCATGCACTCAACAACTATTTTGAGCACCTACCCGCACCGTTCTAGGTTCTGAGAATTGGGCAGTGACCAAACCAGACAGATGTCCCTCCCTTCATGGGGCCAGTATTTGAATAGTGAGACAACAAACAAACAAAAAGTAAATAAATAAATAAGAAAATACTAGGAAGTGGTAAGCACCATGATAAAAATGTGAAAAATCCCCTGGGGTAAATTCTAAAATTACACATGTAAGCATTTTTTTTTTCCTGCAAAAACACAGAATGTATTTCCCTGTGGTTACTTCACGGGAAGAGGCTGGAGGCTGGGAGAGAGACTTGTTTTTCACTTTATACCTTTTTGGAACTTCATTTTCTTAACGGGTGTGAGTCACTTTTAGTATTTTTTACTTATTTTTTATTTTATTTATTTATTTGACAGAGAGAGCTCAAGGGGGAGCGGCAGGCAGAGGGAGAGGGAGAAGCAGGCTCCCCGCTGAGCCAGGAGCCCAAGGTGGGGCTCGAGCCCAAGACTCTGGAATCTGGACCTGAGCCACCCAGGCGCCCCTTTAGTATTATTTTTTAAAGTGACAAGCAAGTGTAGCTGGGTAGAGCGATCCGGGCCACGTTTTGCTTTCTTCCCCCCACTCTTTTTGGATTTTTCATCTCTTTTAAACACGTATAAAAATGGGAACCGTGATTATCATTTGTTCTGGGGCGGCTGGCGAAGGCTTTCCGCTGCCAAGGATCTGAGTAATCTAAAACAGAGCGGAACTGCTCAGGGGTTGGCAATTTTTGTAAGAATGTTGAACGTTTGAGGTTTTCATTTCGAGGATAATCCTCCCCGCCCCGCCCCACTCCCAGCCCCCTCCCCCACACACCCCTTTCCCAGTTGCAGAACGCATGTATCTCATCTGCGAGGTCATTCCACTTGGAAGTCTTGAGTTTTTGGACTTGGATCCATAAACCAACTATTCCTCAAACGGGTAGCCTAGGGATTTTTAGCTTCCGGTAGCTTTTCCGGGAAGCTGAGTAGGGGATCAGGCCTAAAGTAGGGATAAGGAGCCCAGAAGAGGTGCGGCTGGCTTCCCGCTCCGGACACTCCCCTCCCAGAGCGAACCCGCGCTAAAGCGTGTCTCTGCGTTGCCGTGGAGACCGCTGGGCTGCTGGAAACTCCGCACAAGGGAGGGGCGGGGCGGTTGGAGGCCAGGCGGGGGCTGAGCGCGCCGGCTGGGATGGAGCCTTTGAGAGGGAGGAGAAAATCCAGCAAAGCCTACCGACCGGGCTCTGCAAAGGCAAAAACAACCCAAACGAGCCAATAATTGTGCAAAGGCCTCGCTGAGATCTTCACCAACCTTCCCTTCCCTCTCTCCCGCTCCCTCCCTCTTTCTCTCCACATCTGCCTGGTTCTTTCAAGAGCTAAATAAAATCCCACGTCGTGAGTTAAATAAAATGATGTGTTCCTTTTTTATACCTTGTATTAAAGTCATTGTTATTTTACAGGGTCTTTTTGCTGTTGTTAAAATTTTTCTCTTTTAACGTTTGTATGTTTCGTTATAATTGGTTTCCTTTGTAATCCGATGGATGTGGTTCTATGCATTGAAAAACTTTATCTTGGGGCGCCTGGGTGGCTCAGTGGGTTAAGCCGCTGCCTTCGGCTCAGGTCATGATCTCAGGGTCCTGGGATCGAGCCCCGCATCGGGCTCTCTGCTCGGCAAGGAGCCTGCTTCCTCCTCTCTGCCTGCCTCTCTGCCTGCTTGTGATCTCTGTCTGTCAAATAAATAAATTAAAAAAAAATTTATTTAAAAAAAGAAAAAAAGAAAAACTTTATCTTGAATAGGGCCCCATAGCACTTAGAAAGGGTTAAGGATTCCTGAGATAGAGGACTCAGGAGAAGGTAGAGGCCACTCCTATTGTTGGGGTGCAGGGAACGGGGTGGGGTGTAGAATGACCACCCCAAAAAAACATTTGGGCAGAGGGAAATTGCCAAGAGAAGGCGGCACCATAACAACCTGGAGGTTGGGAACAGCAAGTGCAAAGGCCCTGAGGTGGAACTGAGTGGGGCCTCTAATAAACAGTGAAGAGGTGGGAGTGGCTGGAGCGCGGTCAGTGAGAAGGAGAGAAAGAGAGAGGGAAGTGGAGGAGGTATGCTAGGGCTTTGTGGCCCACGGTGAGGACTTTGATTTTACTCTGAGTAGGATGGAGGATTTTTAAAAGAGTAGAGACAGATCTGAGTTAAGTTTTTAAGATTCCCTCCAGCTGCTGGGTTGGGGTCAACAGCAGGCAGTGAGGGGGAAACAGGGAGATTTTCCATGGGTCCGCCTTACCACATAGCTCTGAGAATTCCCAACAACAGTCCCCCCTCCCCCCGCACACAGCAGGGTGCCTGGTTCCAAGGAAACTCTCCCTGCAAGTTCACTGTTATTAGTACTAATGCTGAGCCAGCTGCCTTGGAGTTACCCAGGAAGCTTTGCACATCCTGGGCCCCCCCATCCCAGGGATCCTGACCCCTCTCTGTTCATGGCTGATTCTGAGGACCTCTGCTTGAATTTCACTTATTTAATTAACATTTTTGACTGCTAAAAATCCAAGCAATCCAAGAAGATAGAGATGGGAAAAGTACATGTCTCTGCCACCTCTGGGGGTCCCCAGTGTCCCTCCCCAGAGATAGCCACTGTTGGCGGTGCTGGTACCTGGGATCAGTACATCTGCAGGTCTAGACCCTTTGCCCACCCCACCACCACCCACACACACACCTCAGACAGTTTCAGATTCAAATCCAGGTTTCTCTCACTTATGGCTGTGGGAACTTGAGCAAGCGATTTTACATCGTCAGCTATAAAACGGGAATGATCTGTGCACTTGGGTGGCTCAGTCAGTTAAGCAGCTGCCTATGGCTCAGGTCCTGATCTCACGGGCCTGGGATTGAGTCCCCACGTTGGGCTCTGTCCAGCGTGGACTCCCTCTGTACTCTCACTCTCTCGCTCTTGCTCTATCTCAAGTAAATAAATAAAAATCTTTTAAATAAATAAAATAAAATGGGAATGATCCCATTACCTGCATCATAATGTTATATATAGGGAGGATTTCGTGGGGTTAATCCACAGAAAGCACTAGGAAATGCTCCATAAAACCTGACTATCCTTTTTACCAGGTGCTTCTTTTTACATAGCTGCATAGTATTCCAGTGTGAGACTTATACAACTGAGCCAGTCCCTCCTGATGGACAACACTTCGGTTCATTCATTCACCCCCAAAATATTTATTGAGCACCTGCAGTGTGCCAAGGCCCGCGCTAGAGCCTGGGGCAGTAAGATCCTGGTACCGTTTCTCCTCCGACATATATGCTTGAACAGGTAGGACCCGCGGGTACCAAAGTCGCATGATGTTGAAACCTAACAATACAGTGCCAATGGCTTGCCAAAGGCCGGCCTCATTAGCACACCCACCTCCAGGGCTTGGCTGGAACCCGCGTTTAGAAGGGCAGGTTGGGGAACTGCCGCCTTTCCCCGGAAGGTGCTGACGTGGGCCTTGGCGGGGGCGTTCTGCTTGGAAGCGGTGGCCCCAGGGAGGCCCGGAGCGCGGCCACACCCCTGTGGGGGGAGGGGAGGGAGGGCGCCCCGAAGGGAGTGGACAGCCCCCCTGTCAGTCTTCCCGAGTCCCGGAGTGTAAGATGAGAAGGGGGAAGGTGGGCCTCACCCTAGGGGACAGCGAGGAGGAACTTCCTGCCCGCGCGCGCTCCTTCGCGCTGAGCGCACGGGCTGGGAGGCTGCAGGCGCGTCAAGGTCAGCCTGGACCGGGGTGGCCGCCAGCCTGGGGGCGGGAGACCCTTGGGGAGGGGGGGCTGGGCTGTGGCCTCCAAGCGCCTCGGCCATATTGAATAGCCCCGGCTGAGCCGTCTTTGTGTGCGCAGGCCTCTCCCAAGGTGCAGGCGCGTCTCCGACGCAGGAAGAGCCACGGGGGCAGCCGGTGCCCTAACTTGGAACCCGGACCCCACGTCTGCAGCTGGCGGTGGGCTTCGAAGCCTCAGGACGGACCGCTCCCCGGCTCACGTAAGCATCCTGGGAACCGATTCCCGCCAGTCCTTGGGGCGGGGGAGCCGGACTTCGTCAAGACTGAACTTTGTGGCGGGCGGAGAAGTTGGGAGGGATCGGCTCATCCTCGGCTGGAGAGGCGAGACCCTCCTGGCAGTTCTGCGGGGACGCCCCCCACTCGCCCCCACCCTCCAAGACTCAGGCCTACAGTGTAGTTTGGGGTCGTTGCCCCCACCCCCGATTTCACCCTGGAGATCTTAAAGACCCTCGAGAAAAGCCACGTGGGGGGCTGGTTCCCCTGGGGTTTCCTCCCCTCCCCCGACTGCCTGATCCTCTGGAGCGTGCCTGATGTCTGCAAAGATGTGGATTTGGACGTCCTCGTGGAAGCCTTGAAGCCCGTGGGGACCTTTAAGAAGATTGGCAAGGTGTTCCGCAGGGAGGAGGACTCCACGGTGGGGATGTTGCAGATCGGGGAGGACGTCGACTATCTGCTCATCCCCCGGGAGGTCAGGCTGGCGGGAGGCGTATGGAGGGTCATCTCCAAGCCCGCCACCAAGGAGGCGGAATTTCGCGAGCGGCTGATCCAGTTTCTGGAGGAAGAAGGCCGCACACTGGAGGACGTGGCCCGCATCATTGAGAAGAGCACCCCACACCCGCCCCAGCCCCCCAAAAAGCCCAAGGAGCCCCGGGTGAGGAGGAGAGTCCAGCAGATGGTGACCCCGCCCCCGCGGCTGGTGGTGGGCACCTATGACAGCAGCAATGCCAGCGACAGCGAGTTCAGTGACTTCGAGACCTCCAGAGACAAGGGGGACAAGGGGGACAAGGGTCACAAAGGCGCGGGGTGCAGCAGGAAAGTGCGCAAAATGCCAGTCAGTTACCTGGGCAGCAAATTTCTGGGGAGCGACCTGGAGAGCGAGGACGACCAGGAGCTGGTGGAGGCCTTCCTGCAGCGAGGGGAGAAGAAGCCCAGCGCGCCACCTGCCCGCCGCCGCGTGAACCTGCCAGTGCCCATGTTCGAGGACAACCCCAGGCCGCAGCTGTCCAAGGCAGACAGGTGGCGAGAGTATGTCAGCCAGGTGTCCTGGGGGAAGCTGAAGCGGAGGGTGAAGGGTTGGGCGCCCAGGTCCAGCCCTGAGGGGGGTGAAGCCCAGCAGGCATCTACCAGGCCGGAGAGGGTTGGGGCCTCGGGGTCAGGCAGAGCCAGCCTGGGGGACAATGTGGGCAACACAGGAGATGGGTGGGAGCCTGACATGCCCCCAAGACGATGGAGGCCCAAAATCAAATGGGCCTCTTTTCGCCGTTGCAGGAGGGAAGAAGCGGCATCCACAGATCAGAGGGCGGAGGCTGCAGATGATCAAAGAGTTGAGGCAGCCGATAATCAGGGAGCTGAGGCTGCAGATGATCAGAGAGCAGGGACTGCAGATGATCAGAGGGTGGAGGCTGCAGATAATCAGAGAGCTGAGGCTGCAGATGATCAGAGAGCAGGGGCTGCAGATGATCAGAGGGT